TTACTTCCTCACTAGAACATTAGAGAGTACTTACTTCTTCACTAGAACATTAAAGAGTACTTACTTCCTCACATGTAGAACATTAGAGAGTACTTACTTCCTCACATGTAGAACTTTAGAGAGTACTTACTTCCTCACATGTAGAACTTTAGAGAGTACTTACTTCCTCACATGTAGAACATTAGAGAGTACTTACTTCCTCACATGTAGAACATTAGAGAGTACTTACTTCCTCACTAGAACATTAGAGAGTACTTACTTCCTCACATGTAGAACATTAGAGAGTACTTACTTCCTCACATGTAGAACTTTAGAGAGTACTTACTTCCTCACATGTAGAACTTTAGAGAGTACTTACTTCCTCACATGTAGAACATTAGAGAGTACTTACTTCCTCACATGTAGAACATTAGAGAGTACTTACTTCCTCACATGTAGAACATTAGAGAGTACTTACTTCCTCACATGTAGAACATTAGAGAGTACTTACTTCCTCACATGTAGAACATTAGAGAGTACTTACTTCCTCACATGTAGAACATTAGAGAGTACTTACTTCCTCACATGTAGAACATTAGAGAGTACTTACTTCCTCACATGTAGAACATTAGAGAGTACTTACTTCCTCACATGTAGAACATTAGAGAGTACTTACTTCCTCACTAGAACATTAGAGAGTACTTACTTCCTCACATGTAGAACATTAGAGAGTACTTACTTCCTCACTAGAACATTAGAGAGTACTTACTTCCTCACTAGAACATTAGAGAGTACTTACTTCCTCACTAGAACATTAGAGAGTACTTACTTCCTCACTAGAACATTAGAGAGTACTTACTTCCTCACATGTAGAACATTAGAGAGTACTTACTTCCTCACATGTAGAACTTTAGAGAGTACTTACTTCCTCACATGTAGAACATTAGAGAGTACTTACTTCCTCACATGTAGAACATTAGAGAGTACTTACTTCCTCACATGTAGAACATTAGAGAGTACTTACTTTCTCACTAGAACATTAGAGAGTACTTACTTCCTCACATGTAGAACATTAGAGAGTACTTACTTCCTCACTAGAACATTAGAGAGTACTTACTTCCTCACATGTAGAACATTAGAGAGTACTTACTTCCTCACTAGAACATTAAAGAGTACTTACTTCCTCACATGTAGAACATTAAAGAGTACTTACTTCCTCACATGTAGAACATTAGAGAGTACTTACTTCCTCACATGTAGAACTTTAGAGAGTACTTACTTCCTCACATGTAGAACATTAGAGAGTACTTACTTCCTCACATGTAGAACTTTAGAGAGTACTTACTTCCTCACATGTAGAACTTTAGAGAGTACTTACTTCCTCACATGTAGAACTTTAGAGAGTACTTACTTCCTCACATGTAGAACATTAGAGAGTACTTACTTCCTCACATGTAGAACATTAGAGAGTACTTACTTCCTCACATGTAGAACATTAGAGAGTACTTACTTCCTCACTAGAACATTAGAGAGTACTTACTTCCTCACTAGAACATTAGAGAGTACTTACTTCCTCACATGTAGAACATTAAAGAGTACTTACTTCCTCACATGTAGAACTTTAGAGAGTACTTACTTCCTCACATGTAGAACATTAGAGAGTACTTACTTCCTCACATGTAGAACATTAGAGAGTACTTACTTCCTCACATGTAGAACTTTAGAGAGTACTTACTTCCTCACATGTAGAACATTAGAGAGTACTTACTTCCTCACATGTAGAACATTAGAGAGTACTTACTTCCTCACATGTAGAACATTAGAGAGTACTTACTTCCTCACATGTAGAACATTAAAGAGTACTTACTTCCTCACATGTAGAACTTTAGAGAGTACTCATTCCTCACATGTAGAACTTTAGAGAGTACTTACTTCCTCACATGTAGAACATTAGAGAGTACTTACTTCCTCACATGTAGAACATTAGAGAGTACTTACTTCCTCACATGTAGAACTTTAGAGAGTACTTACTTCCTCACATGTAGAACATTAGAGAGTACTTACTTCCTCACTAGAACATTAGAGAGTACTTACTTCCTCACATGTAGAACATTAGAGAGTACTTACTTCCTCACATGTAGAACATTAGAGAGTACTTACTTCCTCACATGTAGAACTTTAGAGAGTACTTACTTCCTCACATGTAGAACATTAAAGAGTACTTACTTCCTCACATGTAGAACTTTAGAGAGTACTTACTTCCTCACATGTAGAACTTTAGAGAGTACTTACTTCCTCACATGTAGAACATTAGAGAGTACTTACTTCCTCACTAGAACATTAGAGAGTACTTACTTCCTCACATGTAGAACTTTAGAGAGTACTTACTTCCTCACATGTAGAACATTAGAGAGTACTTACTTCCTCACATGTAGAACTTTAGAGAGTACTTACTTCCTCACATGTAGAACATTAGAGAGTACTTACTTCCTCACATGTAGAACATTAGAGAGTACTTACTTCCTCACATGTAGAACATTAGAGAGTACTTACTTCCTCACATGTAGATAAAGAGTACTTACTTCCTCACATGTAGAACATTAGAGAGTACTTACTTCCTCACATGTAGATAGAGAGTACTTACTTCCTCACATGTAGAACATTAGAGAGTACTTACTTCCTCACATGTAGAACATTAGAGAGTACTTACTTCCTCACATGTAGATAGTGAGTACTTACTTCCTCACATGTAGAACATTAGAGAGTACTTACTTCCTCACATGTAGATAGAGAGTACTTACTTCCTCACATGTAGAACATTAGAGAGTACTTACTTCCTCACATGTAGAACATTAGAGAGTACTTACTTCCTCACATGTAGAACATTAGAGAGTACTTACTTCCTCACATGTAGAACATTAGAGAGTACTTACTTCCTCACATGTAGAACATTAGAGAGTACTTACTTCCTCACATGTAGAACATTAGAGAGTACTTACTTCCTCACATGTAGAACATTAGAGAGTACTTACTTCCTCACATGTAGATAGAGAGTACTTACTTCCTCACATGTAGAACATTAGAGAGTACTTACTTCCTCACATGTAGAACATTAGAGAGTACTTACTTCCTCACATGTAGAACTTTAGAGAGTACTTACTTCCTCACATGTAGAACATTAGAGAGTACTTACTTCCTCACATGTAGAACATTAGAGAGTACTTACTTCCTCACATGTAGATAGAGAGTACTTACTTCCTCACATGTAGAACATTAGAGAGTACTTACTTCCTCACATGTAGAACTTTAGAGAGCACTTACTTCCTCACATGTAGAACTTTAGAGAGTACTTACTTCCTCACGTGTAGAACTTTAGAGAGTACTTACTTCCTCACATGTAGAACATTAGAGAGTACTTACTTCCTCACATGTAGAACATTAGAGAGTACTTACTTCCTCACATGTAGAACATTAGAGAGTACTTACTTCCTCACATGTAGAACATTAGAGAGTACTTACTTCCTCACTAGAACATTAGAGAGTACTTACTTCCTCACATGTAGAACATTAGAGAGTACTTACTTCCTCACATGTAGATAGAGAGTACTTACTTCCTCACATGTAGAACATTAGAGAGTACTTACTTCCTCACATGTAGAACATTAGAGAGTACTTACTTCCTCACATGTAGAACATTAGAGAGTACTTACTTCCTCACATGTAGAACATTAGAGAGTACTTACTTCCTCACATGTAGAACATTAGAGAGTACTTACTTCCTCACATGTAGAACATTAGAGAGTACTTACTTCCTCACATGTAGAACATTAGAGAGTACTTACTTCCTCACATGTAGAACATTAGAGAGTACTTACTTCCTCACATGTAGAACTTTAGAGAGTACTTACTTCCTCACATGTAGAACATTAGAGAGTACTTACTTCCTCACATGTAGAACATTAGAGAGTACTTACTTCCTCACATGTAGAACATTAGAGAGTACTTACTTCCTCACATGTAGAACATTAGAGAGTACTTACTTCCTCACATGTAGAACTTTAGAGAGTACTTACTTCCTCACATGTAGAACATTAGAGAGTACTTACTTCCTCACATGTAGAACATTAGAGAGTACTTACTTCCTCACATGTAGAACATTAGAGAGTACTTACTTCCTCACTAGAACTTTAGAGAGTACTTACTTCCTCACATGTAGAACATTAGAGAGTACTTACTTCCTCACATGTAGAACATTAGAGAGTACTTACTTCCTCACATGTAGAACATTAGAGAGTACTTACTTCCTCACATGTAGAACTTTAGAGAGTACTTACTTCCTCACATGTAGAACATTAGAGAGTACTTACTTCCTCACATGTAGAACATTAGAGAGTACTTACTTCCTCACATGTAGAACATTAGAGAGTACTTACTTCCTCACTAGAACTTTAGAGAGTACTTACTTCCTCACATGTAGAACATTAGAGAGTACTTACTTCCTCACATGTAGAACATTAGAGAGTACTTACTTCCTCACATGTAGAACATTAGAGAGTACTTACTTCCTCACATGTAGAACTTTAGAGAGTACTTACTTCCTCACATGTAGAACATTAGAGAGTACTTACTTCCTCACATGTAGAACATTAGAGAGTACTTACTTCCTCACATGTAGAACATTAGAGAGTACTTACTTCCTCACTAGAACTTTAGAGAGTACTTACTTCCTCACATGTAGAACATTAGAGAGTACTTACTTCCTCACATGTAGAACATTAGAGAGTACTTACTTCCTCACATGTAGAACATTAGAGAGTACTTACTTCCTCACATGTAGAACATTAGAGAGTACTTACTTCCTCACATGTAGAACATTAGAGAGTACTTACTTCCTCACATGTAGAACATTAGAGAGTACTTACTTCCTCACATGTAGAACATTAGAGAGTACTTACTTCCTCACATGTAGAACATTAGAGAGTACTTACTTCCTCACATGTAGAACATTAGAGAGTACTTACTTCCTCACATGGAGATGCTCCTCAATGATGCCAGACCTGTACTGAACTGGCATCTCCCAGCCAGCAAAAGGTACCATTTTCGCCCCCTCAGAAAGGTGATAATCATACAGGCAAGTCTTTTTATTATTCTGAAACAGAAAGATTTAATTTTAAAAAAGTAAGTGCGCAGGCTGATTAATTATTTGAGCAAATAGTTTTTAAAGACAGAGCTAGCAAAGATTGGGTGTTTAAATGGTGGTATAAATGGAAATATACTTGGTCAGAGGTCAGCAATATTTAGAGACGGAAGAGAAAAAAGTTACAATTTACAAAATTACCCAGTTTTTAAAGAGCCCCTATCATTAATTTTTAAAATGTTTTATTTTAAAGGATTAGGTAAATAAATAAATAAATGTGATTTTTTAATTTGAAATAAATAGCGTTAAATAAGAACTAATATTGATTCATATTTTAACACTCACTCAATGGGGATGCTTTTTACCCACTGAGGTGTTGTGTTTAAAAGGGCTGACCCTGAGATATAGCACACAATGGAACTACTGTCAACTACTGGCTTTATTGACATTAATATGTTTCGCACAAAAAGTGTTTTAGCTAGCTCTGCTATGATTAAGTTAGTCATCAGAAAAATGTAACTATAGGACAATCCCAATCCACTTTAGAAGCCAATAACTATTTTTTTTCTTTCTTTACGGACACCACTGGCTCAGGAGGTGTCTCCCATAGCCAAGCAGCCCTCAGCTCAGACTGACTTAGATATAGGTTTGATTACTGGGTGGGTGGCTTCTGTCCTTCCAATCTCACAGTGCTTATCTTCCACCCCACCTACAGTCAAGTAGCCTACCTGGGCCTGTTATCTTCCACCCCACCTACAGTCAAGTAGCCTACCTGGGCCTGTTATCTTCCACCCCACCCACAGTAGCCTACCTGGGCCTGTTATCTTCCACCCCACCCACAGTCAAGTAGCCTACCTGGGCCTGTTATCTTCCACCCCACCTACAGTCAAGTAGCCTACCTGGGCCTGTTATCTTCCACCCCACCCACAGTCAAGTAGCCTACCTGGGCCTGTTATCTTCCACCCCACCCAAAGTCAAGTAGCCTACCTGGGCCTGTTATCTTCCACCCCACCTACAGTCAAGTAGCCTACCTGGGCCTGTTATCTTCCACCCCACCCACAGTCAAGTAGCCTACCTGGGCCTGTTATCTTCCACCCCACCCACAGTCAAGTAGCCTACCTGGGCCTGTTATCTTCCACCCCACCCAAAGTCAAGTAGCCTACCTGGGCCTGTTATCTTCCACCCCACCCACAGTCAAGTAGCCTACCTGGGCCTGTTATCTTCCACCCCACCTACAGTCAAGTAGCCTACCTGGGCCTGTTATCTTCCACCCCACCTACAGTCAAGTAGCCTACCTGGGCCTGTTATCTTCCACCCCACCCACAGTCAAGTAGCCTACCTGGGCCTGTTATCTTCCACCCCACCCAAAGTCAAGTAGCCTACCTGGGCCTGTTATCTTCCACCCCACCCAAAGTCAAGTAGCCTACCTGGGCCTGTTATCTTCCACCCCACCTACAGTCAAGTAGCCTACCTGGGCCTGTTATCTTCCACCCCACCCACAGTCAAGTAGCCTACCTGGGCCTGTTATCTTCCACCCCACCCAAAGTCAAGTAGCCTACCTGGGCCTGTTATCTTCCACCCCACCCAAAGTCAAGTAGCCTACCTGGGCCTGTTATCTTCCACCCCACCCACAGTCAAGTAGCCTACCTGGGCCTGTTATCTTCCACCCCACCCAAAGTCAAGTAGCCTACCTGGGCCTGTTATCTTCCACCCCACCCACAGTCAAGTAGCCTACCTGGGCCTGTTATCTTCCACCTCACCCACAGTCAAGTAGCCTACCTGGGCCTGTTATCTTCCACCCCACCCACAGTCAAGTAGCCTACCTGGGCCTGATGCTGCTGTCAGCTGTCCATTTACTTTTTACCTCACCTATTCTCACTGTTCTCTGATGAGTGTTTTAATCCTGTTTAAAGCTGTTTTTCTTTACAGTATAATATTTGTATGAGTTTTGAGAATGAAATAATATAATTATTGATATATGTGCATGGAACTAGAGAGCCGCACCTTGACATCAAAAGAGTTGCATGCAGCTCGCGAGCCGCAGGTAGCCGACCCCTGTACTTGGTGGTATTAATGGGAATATAATAATAGGTATCTAACAAGAATTGAGGGTATACATTTTAACAGACAGATGACAAGCTTTTCAATGTTTAATGTCTGTTTCAACATGTTAACATTGTATCAGAACAAAAAGTTGACTTAAAGTGTTATGTTTCAGCACATATTGTTTAATAAAAGTGTTATGTTTTCAGAACAAATTGTTATTTATAATTAGCATGCCCCTCCCCCAGTGTTGGCCCAGGGCTAGAAGAAAGTCTGAAAGAATATTTTAAGAGGGCTTCATCAGTGCGTCACTAATCCTATATTCTTAGGTGCATGACCATGTTTTTTTAAAACTGAGTTATTTAAATGTAAACAATGCCTGCGCTACATTTCTTGAATCATATTTGTTGGGGCAGGGGTTTACCTACACTACTGCCCAGCACGCCCCAGGGCGTGGTGTAGGAAAGCCTTGAGTGTACGTTAATCACTCTCAGTAACAGTGAGTTCGAACACACTTCGGCCACCGCCCAGGTGTCAGGGATGTAGCAGGGTGCTCTCTGGAGCTCCCTGTTACACTGCCGCAAGTGCTCTGCGTACAGCCCCCCCCCCTTGCTGGTTTAATCAACCAATATCGTGTGCCAGTGTGTCACTATTAAAGGTTGCTTTTTAAAACTAACGTAGGTGCCATAATGCTCACAGGATAGCCCAGGACGCCAAATTGCGCCTGATCCGATTTAATAAACGCCTATAACTCTACATTTTATCCATAGTATATTGCACTCTTTAAAACCAAAGTTGGCGTCATAGTGCTCACAGGTGAGTCCAGGGCACAAAATCGCCCCCTGCGACAGAGGACAAGTCTAGTTTGGTGTAGTCAACGATTATTGTTGCCCATCCTGTCTATAGCGTATATATTTTTTTAAAAATGAATGTAGGCACCATAATGCTCACAGGGGCGCCCAGGGTGCTTCGGGTCACACAATCGACTGGGCGCCAGCTGCACCTACTGCAGTTTTACCGCTTAACATAGTAGTACCCCTTTCCTGTTATGCAGGACGCCCTATTAACGGATACCAATTGCTACAATAGCCACTCTAGAATTCTGGGCACCAAACCGTGTATTGACAAAAATTGCACCCTCCCAGGCGCCACCCATAAGAAATTTTTTTTTCCTTAGAAATCTTCTTTGAAGTATTCTCATCATTATTCCTTATGTTTCACAGGTCATTTAAGAACCAGATATATATGTCAGTCACAGGTTATTGGACTTCACAGTGTTTAATTTAACACCCATGTAACTTCTAAACTAAACTGCTAATATATCTATTCAACATGCAAATTGTATCAAAACTGTATTCTGGTTATGACTTTAAAAAAAAAACAATTTTAAAAATTATTGAATGAAATTTTTATAGGGAGTGGAACTTTTTAACTTCACTAAATGTTTGACTGGGTTAATTTTAATATAACAATGAGTGGAACTTTTAAGCTTCACTGGATGTTGACTGGTCTCTGGTGATGACTGGTAGTGGCAAACTATAATCATCAAGCACTGAGATACAGGGTTCATGCTCCAAAACTAAAAATAAATTCCATGAGTTTTCCAAGAGAGTTTTAAATAAATTCCAGGACATTATAAAAATTTAAGAAATCTGTATTGTATGGCCACATTTACATTAAGTTGATTAAGTGCAGACGCCCAAGTTTATCTATTCTTTTTTCTGCAATTAAAGCAGTCTTATGCTATTATTGTACCAACTCATAGTTTAATATAGCTAATATCTTAAATAAAAGAAGTTTCTGTTATTCTAATAATAACAATGAAAGCCCTTTCTAATTACAATTTAAGGTTTCCCTTATACACAGTTTTTTAAATACATTTTACAATACAACAAAAAAAGTGAAATTTTTAGTTGCCCAGTTTGTTATCAATTTAATGATGTCTTGGATTCTTAAAGATGGACAAGCTATTCATTAACATTAAGCCTGAAAGTATTCGTTCATGTGATGGAAAATGTTACAGACCCAATAAGCTTTTGTTTTAGTTCCAGTGACCTTCTTAGAATTACTGTTTAAAATGTTTACCACGAGAAAAATGGCGGAGTTTTCACGTTATAAAAACAAACAATAAGTGGCAGGGCTATATATGCCAGAAAAGCAATTTAACCCTTTGAGCCCGCGCCTCCCTGACCTAATTTCTCCCATTTCCTGAGCTCCCAGGGCCAAACCAATTTTCACTTATCTGCTTCTAACTTTGCCTATAACTTTGAACCGTTTGAGATAATCAAGCCACTTTTGGTATCCAGACTCTGGATCAAACAACAATGCAGCAAGATTCTGAAATTCTTTTTTTTTTTTACAAAGTTTGAACAGAACAATGTATATAAAACGAACACATAATTATTGTTTTGATAGAACATAGAAGAAACCAATTTACATTTAGTAATTGTTTTGTTATTATTGACACCTGGCCATACTAGTTCATCGCCAGAAGTCCACTTTTGTGTGATAACTTTCAAAACAGTTATCACTGCCGGACCCGATGCAAAGAAAAACTTCGCATGTTTTGCACCAGTAAACATTTTTTTTTCGTTTCCGCAAGTCTTTGTCCTTGACACCACGTGCATCAGAACGTACTTGAACAGTTTCATTGTCACTGTCAATTTCAATGTCACTGTGTTCAGTCTCAAATTCAACGTCACTATCATCACAATATAGACCAGGATTATTATCTTCTTCATCAGAATCAATAAGTAGTTGTATTGCCTTAGATGCAGTCATTCTACTTCTTTTGTTGATATTTCGGTCTTTTGCTTCATCTTTTGCACCAACTTTATGTGATGAAGTCGACGGCTGTGGCTCAGCTTTTCGTTTCGGCGGCATTGCTACGAAATGTAAACACTTTCACTTTCACTTTTTCCTAAAAATCAATTTTTAAAATCATAATCCCGCACTCAAAAGACACATGCACAGTTTTAGTCAGTCTTCCGCTAATTATATTTAATTAGACGGTATACCGGCCGCAAGGAATATGACGCTAGATCATCGGGCCGGAAAACCGGCTTTTCGGACATATATGCCTAATGTTGAAGCCGGTTTACCGGCCTAGCGGGCTCAAAGGGTTAACATTTGGTTTGGAGAATGTAGGCTAAATTTAAAAGTTGGTTTAATTAAAATTGGTTAATAGAACTTAAAAAATATCAACGATGTAGGTACAAAAATGATTGTGTAAGTAAAGCATGTAAAAAGAAATCAAATATTGTTGGCACTTTTTTTATAAGACTGGCTCTCATATCACAACCAATTTATTTTTATTCTTTAAAAACCACGTGACCCCAGAGTTTCTTCCAGGCATCTCTTCGAAGAAAGTCTACCGCCCCCCGAATGAAATGGAATTTATATATAGAAAATATATACTTTTAACAGAGTCCGTCCCCCCAAATTTCAAATGCCCCCCCCCCCCCCCCCGGAGAAAAATGTCTGGAAGAAGCACTGCGTGACCCCTATTTGGTTGATCATTAGAGAGGAACTCTGGGACATAGCCAATTAAAAAGTCGAACCGATTCGTAGTTTGCCGTGGCTTCAGACGTAAGTTGTGTTGTCATGGAGAGGTGTGTCGTGTCATGGCAGTGAGTGACAATAAATATTAAATTAAGTAATTTAGTTTAAAACTAACTAAAAACTTCAAAATTACTGCCTAATGGATGAAAAATGGATGTCTATTATTCAGTGGTCATGTTTAAATTGAAAATTGAGTAAATTGTAGATTTTGTGAGAAAATGTAGAAATAGGCCTATCTTATAATCTATCTATTTTTGGTAATCTATTGTTTTGGGTACATAAAATCGCCCGCGGCTTCTAATGTACGAAAAAGTTACCTCATTGTCAAGGCTTTAATAGAAGTATATTGTGATATATTTGTGTCAAATATTGTAGATAAATGAATAATAAACCTAAATCAATGGTTAAATATATCAATATGGGTCAGAAATTAACTTTAGACAGCAATATTTGCGAGTAAGATTTGCTATATAAACAGCAGCCATTTGTAATATAAAATGGGCTCCCCCTGAATCTCGCGCTATAAGTTTAGAAAAAAAAACTTAGACAAGATGGCTGCTATAGTCTATAGTCCATGAGCATGGTTGCGTCTGTTGGAGACATTTGCTAGTCTTCATTTATTACTGAAAAGTTTTAATTCAATCGTTTAAAAACAGGTGCATAAAATTTTTTTAAATGAAACAAGGAAACATTTTTGTATTTTTCTAAATATAAATCCTCCTCAAATAATTATTGAAATTTAAGGAGTCACCTGTTTTTCACATTATTAGTCGCGGGCGATTTTACGTACCCAAAACATAGAATACCCTATTTTTAAATTAGAAAAGGCGCTAGCCTTTTAAATTTTAAAATCAGTTTAAAAAAATTTCAATATAAAATATATAAATAAATAGCACATAACTAGATCTACCTACCTGAGGATGAGACTGAGACGAAAGGCGTCGAATTACAGAAATTAGCAACATTTTTTGTTTATGGCGCAACATTTTGAAGTAACAGTAAGACTAAGTACTGTAAGTAGATCTAATGTTAATGGCAAATGAAGAGGAGTGCGTTCGTCTCGTAAAAACAGCTGAGATGTGTTGTGTTGGACAGGCCTTGACTTTTGACCCTCGCTCTTTGGAAATAAAGAACAATAAATCACGTTTTAAGAAGGCTTGTTAAATTGTTTACTAAAATATTCCGGGAACGGACAGATGGGTCATAGCCAAGCTACTAATAAATAAAGCTATCGATGACCAATCATTATTTAAAATTTAAAAAAAAGCGTTTATAATTATCAACTCATCAAGCTTCTATATTAGATCTATATGCACCAAAATATAAGAGGAAAATAAACTGACTTTCGTTAGGGCTAATTATAATATACTAGCCGGCCAGGCCATGCACTGGCCTCTATGAAAATCCTATCTGTAAAGGACCATGACTTGTGTGTTAAGTAATCAGCATATAGATCTACCCGGCATTGCCCGGGTTTAGGAAATATATTACTGTTAGAATCAACCACAACCAACCAAAACACAAAAAAAAAACGCAAACATAACACAAACCCAAACGAAAACACAAACCCAACCACAAACATAAAGAAAACGCAAACAAAAAAAGCAAACGAAAACAAATACAAACGCAATCACAATCACTAACGCAAACCCAAAATAAAGAAAACACAAACGCAAACAAAAAAGCAAACACTTAAACGAACGTAGGCGCCATTGTGAACACGGTAATGCACGGGACGCCAAATAACACCCTATCGGGGCGCCGGAGAACAGGATTCAATTATACAGTAATCTCTCTTATCCATAGTCTATCACACTGCTTAAAACGAAATTATGCACGCTATCACTGACAGGATAGCCCAGAGCGCCAAACCGAACCCTGCCGGGGCGCCGGCGGACGCGCCTGATTCAATATAGTGATCGACTATAATACCCCAAGCTTATCCGCAAACAGAAAGATGGAAGTAAACGTAGAGGACATTTAGGTACGGCTTCTAAACTATTATTGATTACAAATAAAAATAATAATAATTAAATAGTACGTACAGTGTATAAAATAAATAAAATTCAGTATTTAAAATATCTGTGTTTTACTAACCACATTGCACTTTATAAATCCACGCTTAGTATGTAAATATTTTTTCACAACACCAAAACACAGTAATAAAAAGTATTTTCCCCCTATGCAATGTTTTTAAAGGGAAGTAATTGTGTTTTTCTAATTTATCAAGGGAATTAATTAGTGCTAAAGAAATAAAGGAAATAATTGTCAGACACAGTTAGAATTTTTTTGAAGGGTGATACATTTTCTGTAATTTTGTTTAATGAACATGCCGTCAATTAACACTATAAATTTGGAAAATGAAATTTGTTTTATAACACCATCTATATTAATTTTTTATCATTAATTTAATAAACCGGGAGTGATCTCCCCTAAACTTTCTCGAATATTCTTATATAAAAAACAGGGGATGGGAACTCGGGATATAGACATGAATTTTAATCCATTTTAAATACTTTAACTTTTTGAAATAGAATAAAATCTCGTAGAAAAAATAATTGCACACCAGTGAACGCCAAATAAAATGTGCATAATAGTGCGGAATATTATTAGTACTTTATAAATTTACATTAGTTTTTGAGAAATCGGAAATAGCGTAAATTAGTACTTCCGGTCAACGGAAATTACTCAAAATTTGACAGAAGGTAGAGAATTAGATCTTTTACTTATATGTGACATTTCATTTATCTATCTGAAATAGTACTCAAGTTATAGGCTTTTGAAAAATTCGAAGTAGAAAAAGTACCACTTCCGGTTATCGGAAATCGCTCAAAAGTTGATACGGATCTACGATTTTGATAAAATACTTATATATGAAATTTCATCAACCTAGCTGTAACGGTACGTACTAAAGTTATCGTGTTTACAGACATACACAGACACACACACACAGGCATACACACAGACATAAGGACAAGATTGCAAAATTATGTTTTTCCGTATCAGTTAGGTGTAAAACGTCGAGATTTGAAAAATCTCGATTTTTTTTTGCACGATTACAAGACTTTCTCTATACTTCGTATATACGAGAAAGTAAAAATGAGTCCTTTAGATATATTACACTGTGCCGATCAAGTCGATTTTTTTTTACCATATTCCTTTGTTACCATGGATCCGTCCACCGTCCGCCCGCCAAATACAGAACTGAACTGTATATATTAAATATTATATAATAATTAACTAATATTTGCCATATTTAGATCCAGATTAATATTTTTAAAAATTATAAGGCGAGAAAATTAATGCATTTTTTCAAATATCTAATAATACACTACTGCTAGATCTAGATTCTATTACTATTTAAATCAGAGGCGTAGCGACCCTTCCCCCCCCCCCCCCTCGAGATTTCGATTTGCACCCCCCCCCCTCAAACTTTCGATTTGCACCCCCCCCCCCGAGATTTTGATTTGCATCCCCCCCCCCCTCAAACTTTCAATTTCCACCCCCCTCAACCTTTCAATTTATTTTTCCAACCCATTTTGGCGCCCATAAGCTCGGCGCCGGGGACATATGCCCCCCCCCCCGCCCCCCCCCCCCCCCCCCATGCTACGCTACTGATTTAAATAACTGTAAAGAAAAGCGTGGGTAGGTTCTTAAATTTTATTAATATATTAAATAAATATTTAACTTTTAAAGAATTAATCAAAGTATGTATTAATTTTTCTCTCAATTATGCTTTTCTTTTTTTTTATTTAAATAGTATTAGTAGAGTATTATGATGTATTTAATTTAATTTAAAGAAAATCATTTATTTTCTACCTTTTTAGTGCATAATACATAAAAGCTTGTTATTTAAACGTTTGTTGTTTTTTTTTAAATTAATTTAATTGCATTGTCATCGAATGCTGACCCACGTGCTAAGTTCGAAACGAATCGGTCAGTTAGAAGTGATGGAAATTTTGCTGGAAAATTTCGATCATTGAAGGCAAAAGCACGGCATACATATAGAGGAAGCGAGTTAAATACGTTTTTTAAAAGCTTGTATGAAAGCCAAATTCGAACACTGTCTGGGCGCCAGTGAAACTCGCCTGATTTAATTTAGTAAATGATTATATTAGCCCAACGTATCCATGGTTTTATTGCATTACACGATTTAATGAACGACTATAGCAGCCCATCGTATTCCTAGTGTAAACGAGCTTAGTCCAGAGGCGTAGCGAAGAGGGGGGGGGTGCGAACCGCACCGGGTGACACCATTTAGGGGGTGACACCAAGGCAAAAAATAGCAAAATATATAGAGAAAAATGATAATTCCACTTAATTAAGTGATTAATTCGAGTGTTAAATAGTCTTTTAAGAGGTGCAAATCGAAAGTTTGAGGGGGGGGGTGGTGCAAATCGAAAGTTTGATGGGGGGGGGGGGGTGGGTGCAAATCGATAATTGAAAGTTTGTCCCCGGGAAGGGTCACTACGTCTCTGGGGGGGGGGGGGGGTGACACCATTAAGTGCCGCACCGGGTGACACCCGACCTCGCTACGCCACTGGCTTAGGCGTCAAGTGTTCACATGGGAGCCCGGGGCACCTAATCGCCTCTTATCGGGGCGCTACAGGACGCTCCTAATTCAATTGAACGATTACTATAGACCATCATATCCGTAGTGTATCGTACTTTTTAAAACGAACTTAGGCTCCATAGTGCTCATAGGGGATCCCGGGGCACAAAATCGTCCCCGGCCGGGGCACCGGAGGACGCTCCTGATTTGATTTAGTAAACAAATATAGTAGTCAATCATATCCATATTTTGAAACACGTGATCTCAATTTCTGATTGGATTATGTAAACAAAAAAAAAGACGAAAACTGCGCCATTCGCAAAACGACGAAACTCTACAGGAGTGTTTCTTTAACACGTTAAAAAATTATTATTAGACGTTTTACAAACGCCAGAGTGGCTGATGCTACGTGTTAATGGTACTAATTCAATTAGTAATTGTGTAGTTATAGATACGTGATCTCAATTCTGATTGGATCATCAATTGATGCAGATTGCGTTATTCCTTGGATCTGAGTTGTTATGGCGCTGGTTTGTCCACGCTACCACCCAGACGCCCCATTGCTAGCCGTAATAGTGAGGAAGACACCCTTCGGCACCCCCCCCCCCATGTGTCTGGGGCATCGCAGGGCGCTCTAAGGAGCTACCGGGCGTCAGGTGTGGCCACTGATTCGGCTTAATCATCGAATGGCATGTGCCACAGTGGCTCTATCATATTGTGCTGTTTAAAATGAATGTGGGCGCCGTAGTGCTCGTGGGAGAGCCCATGACGCCAAATCGCACCCTGCAGGGGCGCAGCCTTTCCAAAACTGATTATTTTCCCCGCAGAAACCTTCCAGGGAGTATTTTCATGTTTTTTAGAACTGTAGCTTTTTAAAAATGTTTTTATAGAATTGTTTATTGACAAAGAGAAATAGCCAAGTTCATTTTTTTTTTTGTAAAATAATAATACAAGTTTTATGGTGAGCGGTTGAAAGGCGTAATAATGCACAAAGGACACAGACACACACACGACCCACACTCACAGACACGCACAACACATACATTTATACACACACGAATTTTTTTTTAACGCAGAAACATTCCCGGGAGTATTCTCATCAACTCCCCAAAGTTTCATGGCGTTCGTTTAAAGGGCGTAGTAAGGACACACACACGACCGACAGACTGATAGTTTAAACACTTTTTCATCATATCAGCTTTTCCCCCTATGTGCCCATAAACACTTGGGGCTACCAATTTTCTGGCAATGAACGCAACAAAATCTGCTTTGTAATCCTTTAAAAAAAACAATTTGACATAATGACTCCTAGAATTAAGACAAGCGAACCAGGGAATATAATCACTCTTAATATAAATATGTATATTTCTTCTAATATTTAATTGTAAATATAAAAACAGATAAATAATTACTTTAGTATGTAATATAGTAGCTTAACATTATTCGTTTTTACAAACAAAAAAAATTTGTTGTCTACGAATCATAATTAAATATATTGTCATCATAAATGCTAAAATATTACAGCATAATGAAAGCTTTTGAAATCAGAGTTGGTATAAAAATCAAGCTTTTCAATCCAATAAAAAATCTAAAACTAATAGGGTGGAACATTCTGAATAATAGTCTAAATGTATATCTAGAATATTTGGTCTTAAGGTTCAAAAAATTCATTTTTTTTAATTAGCTACTGTTTTTTTTTGTGTTCTTTAAAGATCATTTTTTTAAACATAGTGATAGGTATGGGTTAGATCACGGCAATGATCACACACCTCTTTACTGGTAATTGCAAAAACAATATTTTTTACCTGTTTCAAAAGCTATGATTCTGGCAGCATGGTTCTTTGGTACCT